GTGTAGACATATTGCAGCATTCATGATGAAATACATGATACAGATGCAAATACACAAATAAATGCATATATTTGTGTGTGTCTGAGTAATCAGAAACATTGCTGTCCTAATTTATATATAAATTGTATCTTTAACAAGAGTTGAATTGCTTAGAAAGGAGAGGAACTGCTAGACCCGCAGGACTGGCAAATTTAATACACAGAGAGGTGATAAGGAAACAACATTTGATTAACTCACTCTTTGAAAAAAATACTATAAATACTACTGAAAAGTGTAGAATTAAGTGAAGTTAATGAGTAGAATTAAGTGAAGTTTTAATGATGAGATCCCTGTTATACTTTTCAAAATCAGACATTAATCCCATCAAAATAATCAGCTAATTAATGCAAATCCTAATGCGCTTGCTCCAAGAAGTCTTTATAACCAAGGAAAACATATTTGTAATTTATATGTTATAGACACAGTATCCTTCAATGCTTGTTTTGAATTACAAGTTTCCCATAGAAAGAGCAGAGACAATTTACATAAAATAAACAAATGTTAAGCTTTCGGAGACACTACTGCACCTTTAAATACATCACGATTCAATGACTTCCTATCTTACCTACAGTGCAGAACACTTTTTCTTACAGTCACGCTATTTGCCTGACCCATCCGAGGCAAAGCATCACCTAAGGAGCAGCACTGCTTAATAAGGAACTCGCAGCCAATGCCAACACGTGTGCCATGTCCTACAGATGAAGAAGGATCACTGCTCCAGTCACATTTCAGGCTTCACACTTGGAGATCACACTTGTGGGACCATTCATTATTATTTTACTTTCTACTTGGTGTGTCTTAAAACTAACAAAACCCTTAATGTACTTGTAGTACTTACAGTCCATCACAGCAGTTCAGGGATTTAATTATCAATTACTTTAGAGTAAGTTTTATGAGTATTAGTATTATACATGGGCCAAACCACTCAGCTTATCAGTGCTGCTTAAACAGACTGCTACATTATGAATGGCATGGCAAAGGGGAATAAAATCCTCATTATGAGGCACTGCTTCTGTCCTCGATACTGTGCCATAGCGATTTCAGTTTAAAAGCCTCCGTGGTACCTCACACTTTGTCACGGGATGGCAACTGGCTAGATCCTTCTGCTTCCATTACTCCAGGGCAGGACTGAAATCACTAGGATTAGAAACTGGATTAAAAGCTCAGGATCGAGCTGCAAGAGATGCTAATTAGCAGTCCTGAAGGCAGGACTGGAATCCTTGTGTCCTGGTTTCAGCTGGGATAGAGTTAATTTTCATCCTAGTAGCTAGTACAGTGCTGTGTTTTGGATTTAGCATGAGAACAATGTGATAACACACTGATATTTTAGTTGTTCCTAAGCAGTGTTTATACTAAGCCAAGGACTTTTCAGCTTCACATACTCTGCAAGTGAGGAGGTGCACAAGAGCTGGGAGGGAGCATAGCCAGGACAGGCTGATCCAACTGGCTAAAAGCATATTCCATACCATATGACGTCATGCTCAGTATATAAGCTCGGGGGAGTTGGCTGGGGGGCAGTGATTGATGCTCGGGGATTGGCTGGGCGTCAGTCGGTGGGTGGTGAGCAGTTGCATCACTTGTTTTTGCTGGGTTTTGTTCCTCTCTCTCTCTGTTGTTGTTGTTTTCCTTTTCATTACAAGTTGTTGTTGTTGCTGTTGTTATTATTATTATTATATTTTATTTCGATCATTAAACTGTTCTTCTCTCAACCAATGAGTTTTCTTACTTTTGCTCTTCCGATTCTCTCCCCCATCCCAGCAGGGGCGGGGAGGGCGAGTGAGCGGCTGTGTGGTGCTCGGTTGCCGATTGCAGTCAAACCATGACACCTTGAGAGAAAAGTATCTCCTGTTCCCCAGCTGCTTTTTCTGCAGTCAACGAAGCCCTCACACCCCACAACACCCGTGAGCAAGGGTCTTACTGGCTCCGCTTCCAGTACGCTGGCCATATGTTCATGCATTTTGTTTGCTTATATTTGTAAATATGACTCTATCAAAGCTGCATTTAATCCTGTTTCTCAAATATTACATCAAAACCAGTAATGCAGACTAAAGTTTAATACTACAACTAACTGCCAAATTAAGGGAAAGTGGTTGAAAATGGTGTTGGGTACCTTAAAACAATTGGCTAGACAGTGCCTGGCCCTACTCTGAGCCCCTCCAGTCAGCCCCACATGGGGCTGGGGTTGCTGTCCCAACCAGCCCCTCCATGGCAACCAGGGACCCATCTCCGGTCTGCGTTTGTGCACCAGCGTGGACACAGCCACAGGAACCAGTTCTCTGCTGCCCTTCCACTCCTATGCCAGTCTTGCCCTGTCTACTGTCACTTCAGCCTCTTTCATGAGCAATTCATTCTTCTTAAAAGGGATTATTAAAGACGAAAAGACCAGTATGCTGATCTATGAAGTTATACATTGCTGAAAGAAAGATTAAGTCATTTGAGGTATAGAAGGAAAAAGGCTTTGGACAAGGAAGAGGTGATTATAAGCCAATCTTGAATGGATAATTGGGAAATAAAATGCCAAAAATAGAAGAATGTAAAGTAACTAATATAAGATATCAGAAATACATGAAAGATCAAGAAGGGGAGGCATTGAATCAACAGAGAACAATAAGAAATACTTTGCAACAGAGTAAGATGTTGCAGAAAAATTAAACACGTTCTTCATCTCGCAAGGGAAATGGAAGGTGAGGTGCCAGAAGTGAAAACCATGTGTCCTGGGGTGGACAGGGAAAAACTAGAGACATTAGCAACCTCTCCAGAACAAGTCTTGGGTAATTTAAAATCAATAAAAACAGTCAGAGCCCAAAGACCAGATGAGACACACTTCGGGATCCTGAAAGAGATGGCAGACAGATTATTGGACTACCATGAGTTATCTTTAATAGCATCTTTGAAACAGCGAGGTATCAATAGACTAGAAAGAAACAAACAAAACAACAGTTGTAGGAAGGAAGTTATGGAGAGCTATGAATTCAATTTGACCTCCAAAGCAGACAAGGTCCAAGAAATAATCAGTGATAAGATAAAAAAACCCCAACTTTTGAGAAATAGGAAAACTTTAGGAAATACAAGTTTAGTGGAATAGGAATCGCACTAACAGCTAGTGCAATTTCCTCATGTATACTTCTGATGCACTGGCATTTTTAAAGGCAGTATTACAGACAATAAATAGGACTGATAGGCTGATACTGTTTAGATTTTAGAATGTCACATAATATAGGAATTCAGTAAATTAATACATACAAGACAAGTTCCTATATGGATTAAAAATGGCGAAGGAAAAGTCATGTCTGCAGTCATCAATGATGGAGGATAATATGGATGATGGATGGATGATGGATGAATAAAAATCAAGGCAACGTTCATTTCCGAGGATCAGAAGAGACAGTGGATTTGTTAATAGGTCCTGTTCGTATATTCCTCTCATATCTATCTCCCAAACTGGTTCCTGTATGCAACCGCTTACCCTACTCATATCCTGAACTTGCAGCCTCTTGCAGTTTCATTTAAATGGAAAATATGATCCAATTGCTCTCTGCACCTGTATCCCCATGTTCAGTGCTGACTGAACTCAACTCACAGGGCTAAATTGGTATTTACTATCCAGTGTGCAATCTTGGAGTGTCTCAGAAGTCACACACAGCTGAGCTTGGTCAGCTTCTGCTAATGGCATCAAAGTAGATAAACTCCAGATGCAGGGTCAGATAGTGAAGGATAGTGGCAAGAGGCACTGTGTAACAGAGAACCTTGATTTTCTGATAAATCCCAAATCCTGGTAACCTGTATTACTGACTGATTCTGTCCTCTCAGGGTAAGTCAGGACACTCTGACCCATTTCCATTCTAATTTTCTCTAAATTTCTTCTGCAGCTTAGTATGGAGAAATGGACACTGGCGAGAGAGAGTAATAGATTTCAAATACCTGCAAAGAGGAGAAGACCCCACGTCCACTCCAGATAGAAGAGGAAGTAAATTGCAACAAAGGGCATTAGGCAAAACACCAGGGAAAACTTTTAACTTGAAAGCAGGTAATGCATCGGAGCAGCCTGCTCTCAGAGGCTGCAGGATCTCATATTGAAGGTTTTTATAAATACTTTTTCATTAAGAGGTTAAATAAACATCTATCAGAAGGAATCCCATCCTGGGGCAAGAGAAGGGACCATATGACCCCATGTCATTACTTAACTTTGTCCCTTATGACTATTTTTAAAAATCTCTGCAGACTTGTAGGCTGTTAAACAGCTGCTATGTTTCACTCTGGCAATGACTGACTTTCAGTTGTCTCTGAACTTGCTGCTGTTTAAATGTACGTTGTTAAAACCTCCAAGCTTTTCCAGGCTACCAAGGAGTGTCCTGTAGAAGTAACTATTATCTCTGTCTTGTGGCGTCGTACACTTCTCCTTCCGACTCTTCTCTTGCTTTTCCCTCCCCTGTAATTCTGCCCAGGGTCATGCTGAGCTGGGCAGTAGCTGGGAAGAAAAAGGTATTAGAAATGTTGTCTCCAAAGAGGTGTATACCAGGGCTTCAGAGAATCAAGATCTCTGCTGGCACATCTGAACACTGCCCAGGCTTTCAGAACACAACATGGTGGGGAACATCATATTCAGTCTGAACGATGGGGTCTTCATGATGGAAGAAAATGTCCCATTATCTTCCGCAGGACAAAAGCAAAGATTTTTCAGGCATTTACAAGGAGGAGGAAGATAAAAAAGAGCACAATGAGAATTATTACTGAAATTTATTCTCCTTCTTTGGCAATGACCTGTTAAACAACCTTTGTGTAAGTCCCAGACTCCCTAGTCAGCCTTGCTGCAGGATAAAAAGACACACCTCAAAGAGTGCTGTTGGAGCTTTGTAGTATCAGGTCAAGATGTTGCTCATTTTTTTATATTTCTGTCTGAAAAAAAAAATATCTTATTGGTGACTACAGTTAAAGGAAAGGAAAGAAAGTTCATACTTTACCTGACGCATCAGGATGATAGAGGCTGGGAGCACTCGTTATTTCTCCTTGCTGATGGAGACAGCTACCTGAGGATCTTTGACTTGCAATGAGAATCCTGCTCTTTGCAGACGGTAATCTGGACACTGCACCCAGTCCTAACTGTGGCTTGAGTATCATGGCAGATCGATAAAAACTTGGGGGGACCTCGTAGTGAGTATATGGTGGAGGGCAAAATTCATCTTTCGCAGGCCTTTCCCCAACCTACCGAAAAATCATTAACACAGATATTATGCAATAAATCAATAAATCCAGAAAACATGGAGCTCTAAATTGCTTATAAAGGCTAATTTTCCCTCCTTGTGAATCTGGGCTTCACAGCACTGCAGACTGATCATCACTTTCAAGAAGTGATGGTCTTACCATATGAATCGCTCTCCAAAAATATGCACATTACAGTCCCAATACACAACTAAACCCAAATAAAGAATTAATCTCTTCTCCAAAAGAAAATAGACAAGTGGAAGATCTTCAATTAGTGAAAATGAAGTTACTGTTAAGTCCTGAAAGGTGATATTATTTACAGAGGTAGATACACCAAGAGAGTGTGTAAGTGGAATTTTTATTAGAAGTTATTTAAAATATTCTTACTGAGATAAAATTTTGGGGGAAGTCGGTTTTAACTTAGTTAAAAATAAAGCTGAAGGTATTTTAAGTTCATTTTATCAGAGAAATGGTATTGTCAAATCATTTGTGTGAGGAAAAAAAACCTCTACATGTTCTTACTGCAAAATGTTCATTGTAATCTATGCCCCTGAAGTTCCTGAAAAGAGACCCGGTTGTGGAGGTTGGCACGTTTCTGTACATTACATTTTCAGGGGGCTGTCGAATATTCCAAATCAGAGCTATAAAACCCAGCTGCCCATCTGAATTGGAGAAAAAAGCAAATTTGCAGATGTGAAACATTTACTATTTATCACAAATAGATGCTGCTTTGCTAAAATCAGTGACAAATCTCTCAGTATTTTAATGGGCATATACTGTGAGGACAGCACAGTCCCAAGCTGGAAGCATTTCCAGCAAACTGGCTTTTACCGGGGAACTTGCAGTTGGGGAATGACCCGGTTCCCTGATTCAACCCTTGCATCTTTCTACACTCAAGCTGGGCTCTGACTCCCACCGCGCTGTGCTGCTTCGTGACTTCGGACAAGGGCGCAGAGCAATGTCAGTAGTTTTCATCTCTCTCATTTGCAAAGAACCGTTTGCTCTTCTGGGTAGAGTCCAACTTCTTTATCATTTTCTTATAAAATGCAAAATCATCATAATGTAGAAAGGACCCATGAATATTTTTTCAGTGCATCCCATTTAGGCCACAGGAAAAAAAAACAGCTTAGGAAATAGGAAATCTGAACTAAATTTGTTTAAAATTCATCAAAAAGTGCCATAGGCTACCTAGGAAGAAACGTAACTGCCAATTAACTCTGCTGTAAGTTATGTTGCATATAATATGCCAAATCAATTTCTATTTAGCAATTTATAAGCATTTAGAATATGCACTTCAAAAAACAGCAGGAAATAGGAAATCTGAACTAAATTTGTTTAAAATTCATCAAAAAGTGCCATAGGCTACCTAGGAAGAAACGTAACTGCCAATTAACTCTGCTGTAAGTTATGTTGCATATAATATGCCAAATCAATTTCTATTTAGCAATTTATAAGCATTTAGAATATGCACTTCAACATTGTCTATAAAAGCTTTGATCCTAGCTGCTTCAAGAGCTTTAATCCTAATTTAGCTAATCTTTAATATGCTAAAAGAGACAAGATTGGCCTTAAACTATTAAATATAGAATCTTTGAGGCCTCTGCACAGGAACTAGGAGGGCAGATGTAACAAACACTGAGCATTATATTTTTGCTCTATATTTTTTCCTTTGTTTGCAGTCCTATTTCCTGCCATTAGAACTTCCCGTTTCCTTTTTTATTATACTCCTATAACCTATTTCTACAAGTTAGGATGCAGGTTTTTATTGTATAGATGATTCTCTAGGCTTGGACTGCAGGAGATATTTAGCGTCTTATTTTCAACTTCTGGATACAAGATTGTTTTCCTGTATAAGATTCAGTTATCTTTTCTCTCCCTGATGAATTTATTTCAATCAGATTTCACAATACACTTCCTATGATTTCATATTTAACTGGCAGTGAACATACCAATGCCAAGTACTTGCATATAAGGAATAGCGAAAATCTTTAAACATAGAAACCATGCATTTTTGATAAACTGGGTCAGCTTATCCAAACCTTCAGTCACCTCATTTTTCTTTATTGACAGTATCCTATGAATAACACAGAAGAGCAACAAACATGCATACAAAAACAATCAATCACAAGCATAAAACAACTTCTCAAGCTGAGAGAAGTGAGAAGGATTTACCCAACTATCTCTTGAAGACCCCAATTTTGGGGGACATAAACTTCCTATGAAGACACACTCCTTTTTCTTTTCTATTTAACAGTGAATTCATGAAGTGTATAATTCAACTCGTCTCAATAGAATCATGTGCAGTTATTGATTATGAGGCCATTTTAAAGATCTTCAGAAAGATTTGGATTAATATGAGACCTGTTAGCATCCTGTACTAGATTTTTGTACGAGGGACTTTTAAAGAAAAGAACTGTTGCAGCCTGTCAACTAAAAAGAAGCTCAGCTCAGAGTTTTATTGTGTGTGGCTGTCTGCTCATTCCCCACTCACCCCATTTAATGAACTTGTTAGAAAGAGCTGGAAAGTCTGCAGCTAATACTTGGAGCGTACAGGAATTTTCACAGGCTGGGTAATCCTGAGCAGAGCTGGCAGCACAGCCAGCAGGTAAGGATGCCCAACACTTTCCTTCGTGTTACTTTGTTTATAACGTCGTCAAACATTAATGCCTCAAGCAAGAATTTCTTGTCAAGTGCCTGCTTCAGGCAACTATTTGGGAAAAGAGTTGGTGACATCGGTTCAGGCAGTTCAGATCATGAGATTAGGGGGAAAAAAATTGCTGGTTTGGCTATGTATAAAACAACTCCCCCTACTCCTTTTTCATCTACAGGCCTTTTGTTTCAATGGGCTTTTGTCCATGCTCTCTGGAGCAGAAAGATGTCTGTGCTGGGGAACGGACCCAAGGAGGTTGTTCAACAGGGCAGGCACAGCCTTGAGGAGGCAGGCAGAAGAGCTGGTGGTCAGCAGACCTCCCTACAGACCCCCACCAGAACCAGGACTCTCGGCAGCATCCATAAAGTAGTGAATAAAGTGAGCCAAGGACCACTCTCTGGCAAGGCATGGACCATATCCATACAGGTAAACTCTCACCCTGCAGACCAGGCTGGTCTCATCCATACTGGTCCTTGGGAACAGCCTCTGGGTGAGCACACACTGGCAGAGGTGGACACTGAGCTGGGGAGCATGCTCCCAGTCCAGCAGTATGGACAACTTTGCGTGAGCCTTGGAGGCTGTGCCCTCCCGCCGTTCAGTTCACTAGCCCAGCAACAGCCTTTGGGTCCCACAGTTTGCTCTGTTACTTCCCACGGAGGTAACTGACAACACAAAGTGGCCACAAATTCCCACTGGTGCTGACTAGAAGAGGCTGAGGTCCACGTGGAGACAGGGAGCCCACGTTGTGATGAAGCATGTAGACAGCAGCGATCTGCCCTGGACAACGACTAGTTTTTTTAAGCATTTCACTGTGAGGGGTTTTCTACGGGTTTTTTTTTTGGATGAAGACAGGCATGAAAGATCTACCTCCACACCATGCCGAGGTTCCAAAGAAAAGCACTCGAGGAGCTGCCAATGCCACAGGCAAGGCTGCCCATTTAACCTTAACTCAATTCCATTATGGACGCAGTCTCTAAGCACAGCTGGACCGCCTTCACGCCTGAGCTGGGATTTTTGTCTGAGCTGCCCTATGTGGGCCTTAGCACAGGCAGCTCAAGGAGCCCTGCAGGCTCCCCGCTGCACAGAGGTAGCCCTCGAGTCTTCCTCAGACAGCTCTCCAGGCCTTGCCTTGGAGTCTCCTGTCCGAGACAGCACCTTCCAATTTTTTCCAGCTCATGGCACCCAGAAGGGGTATTTAATTGTTCCTATCATTTAGCTAGCTGAAGGGTGCTTAGGGATTACAGGTCTGATTGATAGCAGCTATTAACACTCCCTATCATAGCTATGTAAAGAGCTATAAAATGCTAATCAAAGCCCTCCAAAGCCCAAAGTGAAATAGGGCAGGCTGGGATTTTTTCCCTCACAAAAGTAATGAAGAGTACCCATCCTGCCCCAGAGTCTCCTTGTCTCCAAAATCTCTGATTCTCCAACACTGTCCCTTCACCAGGATGATTTTGATCTATCCCAACCCGTCCCAAGTGCTTTATTTCAGATTACACATCAGTCATCTGCTATGAACCCATACTGTGCACAGCTGCTCTTCTAAGCATCTGTCCACTTCCATGGATCAATCATTTTCCTTTCTCTTGATCCATACTGGAGCTAAATCAGTCCCCTTTTCATTCCCCTAACTAGCAGGGGACTAAGATACTTGCTTTTAGGGTGGCAGCCCAAGAGAGCAAATACCATCCCCTGCTATAGAATCATAGAATCATAGAATCATTAAGGTTGGAAAAGACCTCTAAGATCATCGAGTCCAACCATTAACCTAACACT